AAAAAAAAAAAAAAAAACACTTCATAGTAAAATTAATACCTTCTCCGCTTCGCATCGAAGCTAATAAAAATGTTTAATAATACAATAAATGCAACTCTTATGTCCATGGACGAACGCGACCTTGATTTCAAAGCTTTTAAATCAATACTACAAACCGGTTAAATAAAACAATTACTAACGGAAGTTGATGCACTTAAAAACTCAACGTCACAATATATAAAAAAAGAATCTGACTATGAATTTGTTATCAGTGAGATTAATGAGCGCAACAGGCGTGCAGCAAATCTTATCTGTTACAATGTCACCGAAAGCGTTTATAATTAGTCTGAAGCATGCATTGCATATAATCGCGATCATGACTAATAAGGTAGGTATGTCAGCAATAAACGAGTTTTGGACGGTTTGACGCATCCCGCCCTTCTCCCCCATAGTAGTGGTTCGCGTTATTTCATTGGCCGTTGTTTTCCCGCCAAAATACAATTCTTTAAATCAAATACTTGACAGCAACTTTAATATTTTGTTTTTTATGATATCAGTACCTTTTACTATTATTGATTGATATCAATCTATTGTGATATATATTTATACTACAATATAAACAAATATAATATATTTGTTTATATTGTAGTATAAATATATTGAATATTATTCAATTTGCAAATTATTTAATATGAAATGATTATACCCCGGGTACACTAAATAAAATGAACAGCGTTTATTTAAAATGTCTTAATATATATTGAAAACTTGAGATAATTCACTCATATTTTTACTAAAATTTATATTTTTGATGACAAAATACCTTTTTGTGAGTTTCTTGGTTGTGTTAGTGACAGTTTAAAAAAATCGTTAATAAAAATTAAAAAATAACCTTATATCGATTTCCAAAAGATCCGGTCTGAAGAAAATTCTGGGAAAAACAATTAAGATTTGGCTAAATAAATAAAAAACCAATAAATTTTGATTCTGGTAAAAATAAGTAAGTCTTAATTAACATTATCATATTTTTTTCAGAATTCTTAATTAATTACACTATTATTTCATCATTTTATATGCTGTTAATTATGAGCTTGTTTAATTTCATTTAGCTGTTGTTTGTTCATTGCATTTTACAAATGATAATTATGTAATTCATTCAATAAATAAGGATAGGAAAATTTAAACAAATTGCTATTCCTTTACCTATAAAGTAAATTTAAAAAAAAAGTATACTCATATAATATTATTATTAAATTACATATATACAGCATGTATTTTACCTACTCAATTATAAAGTTAACCTTTTTCAAGAACTTGAAGTTAAACCTCTCGAAATTAGTTTAAAAAGTGAAATAGAAAATTATTTTTTAAATTTTATTTTCTTAATACGGTACATGCCCAAATTTCAGTATAATAAACTTAAATTTTATGTACAATTATAATATAAAATACAAACATACAACAATTAATAATATAATAAAGTTGACGGGTCCTTATTAGCAATACTCATCATTCTATAAAATGGCTGGTTTTTTAGGTAGTTGGTATTACATTTAGATACAGAAAAAAGAATTAAATGATGCGCGTGAAAATATGAAACTTTAAATTTGATTAGCTCTAATAGTTCAGGGGAGTCTATATGACCATCAATATGACGCCTGAGGAAAGTTAGATTAATTTCATGTTTGCTGTCAGCTAACGTAAGCAAACCGAGTTGATGCATTATTGGTGTATAGTCATGGGATGGGTGATCAATTTTTAATTTATATGCCACAAAGTTTAAAAATTTACGTTGCACTCGTTCAACTTTGACTCGGGTACTTCGAGTACCAATAAAAGTTTGTTTCTTAAATATAATATATGTAACACAAATACGCACAAAAATGTCTAAAGTATCACTACAATGGCACTGGCCGAGAGCAAAAGAAAACAAGAGAAATTTAAATAAACCAATATATATATTACGATTTAAATGAAAGAGATAATACAACTTAAGATTTTAATTTAGATGTATAAAAGTAATTTTTAATGTACAACACGTGACGACGGCGGATAGAGAAAACTAGAGAGTGTTTACCGCCGGCGCTCGGTGGTTGACCGCGCTCCAGTAGATGAACTTTGCACCCTAGCTAGATAGCGGGGGAACTATAATCAGGCTGGGCTTGCGTTGTAATAAGGAGGCTGATGGAAAAGACGAGGTGACCGTGTATTAAACGTATCGCAAAATATACGGTACCGTGTCAACTTGCATCATATCACACGCAGTAACTGGATCCCAAACAATCGAGCTATATTCTAAAATTGACCTCATTAAAGAACAATACAAAGTCTTTAAAGAAGATACTAATTTAAAATCATTACAAATTCGCCTTATAAAACCTAACGTCTTAAAAGCTTTGCAACACATTTTGTCTAGCTAAGCATGAAAATTTAATTCATGATCGAAAACAATACCCAAATTAGTAATCACATTGCACAAAGATAAAAATATATTATCATTAACCCTATACAAGTAATTAATATGATCATGAAATCTATACAACGACATTGACTGACATTTTAAAATATCAGTTTTTACTGATTAATTACCCTTGTGATTCAAAGCACCTTACGTTATTCATTTCAACGCTCCAGTTCAAAACAACAACGACACAAAATATCTAAATTTTGAGTTTTGATATCTAAGTTTTCTATTATTTTACTCTTAATGTTTATAAATACATTTAATGTAGGTAAATTATTTTTTTAAAGAGTACATTTTTAAAATTTAATTCCACATTAAAGGAAATGTGAAAATCCTTTTTCAGGTTATTATAGTGCAAAATTAAATGTCTTGAGTTGTTTAAAGTCTTAAACTGGGGCGTTCATTTAATTTTCCTAGTAATTTTATGCCTTATGTATATCGTATGTACATTGTACAATCGACTTTCAATTTGCACTATCTTGTGCGTGAGTCAATCAATTTCAAGACTGAAATTTAACCCTCTAATTATCTAGAATACCAGTCAGCAAAATAATATGTAGTTAAAATATATTCTTTGTTTGATTGTATTTATTTAATTATGTTTTGTTATATTTGTGTCTAGCGATGATTAATTGTTAAGTAACCCCTATTACCAATGATATAATATTTATTTGTCTTATTTTTTAATTTAAATTCTTATTTTGTTATTTTATTAATATACTTAATTAACTACTACTGTAAGTACTATCCACAACTCTATATAAAATTAGCGACGTTTCAAGTCAATTTTATAGGGAAGACGAATTTTAAATATTTTTATCAACTAGTTTAGAAATAATTGGCATAAATAGTGCTTCAAACATGGGGTTACTTCTGTTTTAAAGACCAAAAAAATATTCTTGCTACGCTTCAAATAATCTACTCTCCTTATTTTTATTTATTGATGTAATCAGCCTTTGTGGAGTTATAAATAAATTCTGTTAAGTTATAATATAACTAATAATTATAATAATAATGTATTAACGTAATGTAACAAATCACATTTAATCAAACAAATCTATTAGTATTAGACGAAAATAAATACTTTTAAACAATTGTTATTAAGGCAACTTCAACTAGAATACATTTTTTATTTATAACTTCGTAACGTTATGACGAACAAACAGAAAAAAAATAAATTATAGCCAAGCTAAAAAATAAAATTTAATACTCTTTTATTAAAAAAAAATTCAATTTAGCAATGGCTACATCTGTTTATATACTCGTGAACAAATGTAAAAGAAAATATTATATATATATAGTGTGATTTTATAAAAATGATAACCCTAATTTTTTTGTTAAAAATTATTTTTTCATATAAATATACAAACTAAAATTTGATTTATTTTTATTTATACTAAGTTTATTGTAAGAAAAAATTATTTTAAGGTTATAATTTAGGAGTAACTTTCTAAAGTTTCAAACAGAAACCTAATATTAAATAAAGAATAGACTAAATAAAATTTTGACTGGTAGATAACTAGTTTTATATTATTACATTTTGAGTTCATGTAATTTTAATTTATTGGCGAAAGAGGTGATCATCATACAAGAATTCTATGAGTTATACTAAAAACAGAGCGTTTCTAAACACTACGTCGTTTCTAACTTTTTCTTTATCTTAAAATCCTTGTATCTCAAAAAGTAATAAAACATAGTTCTTCGTTTAATGGTAAAAAAAAATAATATAATCACATTTAATTTTCGATAGTTACCCTTAGAAATAATTGTTTTTTACAATGAACTTAATATTTTTGATGATTTATAAAAGTAAATCAAAATTTAATTTGTACATTTTTATGAAAAAATCATTGTTTATTGAAAAATGGGGGTCATATTTTTATAAAGTCATCTGTAAATTATAATAACTTTTTTCCATATAATGACTTTAATAGATACACAGATTATATTTTTTATTGAGGTTGATTGCACTCATCAACCTCTACAAGGAAGTACTTGTATACAATCCACATTTATCAGTATTTATTAATTTAATCTTTTAACAATAAAAATTGAACCACTAAAATAATTGGACTAAACTCAAAAAATAGATTACTGTTCAGTCGATTATACATACAAACTCGGGGCAGTTATGTTTCTTAAAAATATTTATAAACATTTTACTAGTACTGTAGATTAATATTTCTTAAATGATAATAGATAATAGATATTCAACTGTACCAAGTTTTACCATCAGCCCAAAATAACACAATTGACAGTATAGTACGGAAACAGGATTTGTCAATAAGTTATTTCAGAAAAAACTGAATTCAATAAAGATAACCTCTAAATATGTTGATTAAATTTTTAATTCTTTTAAAAATTTACCAACTACATACAATGAACAATAATTATCATTATGATTTTTATTCGTGATAGTTACAAAAGCAATAAATTTAGTATTGTTTTCAAATAAAATAATATTTTGTTCTGTAAAAATATGTCACATATGTGAATTTTTGATAGTTAAAAATAGATCAACATTATAGCTCTTTTTATAAATTAATATGAAAAATTGTTCAATAATAAAACAGGAAAAAAATCTTAAAAATAATTTTCAGAAAAATATTATACTGAAAATTTGATAAAAGTCTAAAATACACTATTAGAACATTAAAATATAATCCTAAATCAAAAATTACTACAAAATTTAATATGGATTTCTATTACATAATTTACTTTTTAGAAAAATATATAAATCATATCAAGAGTCAATTATTAAAACAATTAAATAATAATAATTAGAAACTAAAATTATATGGATTTATAAATTATTTAAATTAATCTAAAAATATACTAAAAATGTTAATTTAAATTTATTTTTAATTAAAAATAATAATAGTAACTAATGATCAATTCTTATTATATAATCTAAACAAATATTCAGCCAATACAAATTTATATTAATAGATTTGGAAACTTAGATAAATGTTGGGGAAATAGGTGGGTTTATTACCTCCTAAAACGAATATTATTTCTACGTTATTGCATTTTCCAACAATGCATCTGCACAAACTTGGGCACTTTAAAAATATTTAAATAAATATAATAAATGAATATAAGTTCGGACAGTAGTAATAGAAGCATTAACTGTATACATATTTAAATAACATATGCATTGATACAAAATGAAAAACATACATTCTTTTTTTATAATTAAAACATAATTTAATAATTAAATATAATCAATATATACATGTAAATAATACATAAAATTTATTATTTTATCATTAATTTAACAATACATTTACATTAATAGAAAAATATGATGAGACTAGTAAAATTAAATGTTTATTTTTTTATAATTATTTTAAAAAGAAAAATAAATCTCCTTTTAAAAAATAGCATTTTAATACATTTTTTCAGGGTAGAAAATTAAGTTTTATATTGTTTTTTTAATAATATTATTAATTACTACAATTTTATTTAAATTGACATATTTTTATTTGAAATAAAGGAGTAAACTCCTCTATATACAATATGGAAAATTAATTTATTGTTTTTATTTAAATTAATTATTTTTATTGGTTTAGTAATTCTATATGTAAATTAAAACCGAAAAGTAATTTTAATGGCTATCAAATAGGAAACATTTTTATTTTTAACATAGAAATCTTTAAATAATAATTCATCTACGTATAAAAATAAGCATATCCATTTAATAAAAATTATTTAATATAAATTAAATTTTATAAATTAAATCATTTAATATAAATTTGTCAAACAGTGCATACAATTTTTTTTACAAAGGAGCAAAATAACATAAAAATACAACTAAAGTAATATTTTCAAAATTTATTATAGTACAATAATCAAAGTTAAACGTCTAATTTTCACTATACTATTTAATAAAATTCAAATTTATTTTCATAAATTAGTTATTTTGGTAAATTAGAGTTTTGAAACATCAATTAAATAATAATAGATGTATAAAAGTAATTTTTAATGTGCAACACGTGACGACGGCGGATAGAGAAAATTCACGTAGGACGTCAAAAACTAGAGAGAGTGTTTACCGCTCGGTGGTTGACCGCGAGGAGGATAATTTATGAGCATAGCTGACAAATTAAATGTAAATTGTTTTGATGAAACGTATATTTCTAGTAGAATTTGTTTTGACAAAAAAAATGAATGGGTTATTGGACCTCAAAAGTGTGTCCAAACACTTATAGCTTCAGGTGCATAAAATAAATATGATAACTTAATGTTTATATAAGAAGTGTAATCCTATACTTATTTTAATCAAATTATCGAATGTATAGGGTTAGTAGGTAATTGGAAACAACCAATTAGGTATGATTACGATACTCTAATGACTAAGACTGTTATACCAAATTATTCTACAATTGCATTTTTCTGGATTTAAAGTCAAAGCGATGATAAATGATATTGGTTCATCAAACATGGGGTTATGAAAAACTTTAGATGTATTTATAGATAATACTCCTTTTAAATATCCTATTTCAAACCAAAACATCCATGTTTTCGCAGATGCTTATATCTTTTAAAATTAGCAAGAAAGCATTTAATTGACAAGTATTGAATTTGTTTATAAAAAAATCTCTATAATAATACTTATTAAATAATTAACAACTAAATAATTATTTTAGAGGTTTTATACATTCCTATGGAAAATTTATAGGGAAAAATATTTTTGAAGAGTTAGTTACGTTGAACTCTAGCCACGATTTTAAATTGGCTTATAAATTGAACAATAAACATCTATTAGTTAAAGGGACAGGCCGAATGAAGATTAAGTTAGCAGCACAGTTATTATCTAATTCATTATCTAAAGCTATTGAATATGGTGGAGAAAAAAAATTATTTGAGAAATATAACTGGAAAGAAGTAAATTAAATATTTATTTAGTATTTTTTATATTTTGGATTTCTATATAAATTTATGCATGGCTAAAAATAGCCTGTTCTAAAACAGGCTCAGAAATTGTTTTACATATCAATGACTGGTTTGACCTACTAAATACTCAACATAAATTTGATAAAGGAGTAAAAAGTTATGGCTTAGACGAAACAATTCAAAATTATTTACTTAATAAAATGAATAGTTTTATCAAATCAATGAGAGTTTTTAAAAAGACGACTTCACTACCTTTTCAAAAGGGTAAAATACTTATGTCGTTTTTAAATTGTTTATTCAAATTTTAGACTATAAAAATATACAGATATTATTTTCACGCTATACCAATTCAAACTTCTCTGTAGGAATTTTGGTTACCAATTTATATTTAAAAAATTTATTATTAGATGTAAGAAACTTATACGGTCATGAATATATCATGACTCGAAAACTTAATCAAGATATATTAGAAAATTTTTTTAGTTTCCTAAAAGGAATAGCCGGAAATGCAAGCTACAATATAACTGCATTGTATTTTAAATACTGGTTAGAATTTATTTGTTTTTAAGTTAAGTAAGATTACAAGATATCACTTATAATTCAATACATTTTCTAGTTTTAGGTAGTACATATTAGGTAAGCATTCTCACTTAGTATCCACTGAAAATACCAATACATCAGAGTTATTTAATAGTTCAGAATTTTTCAAAGATATCTGTAATGATACTGTTTCAGAAAACAGCAGTATTTATGTAAAGGAAACAGATATTCCAAAATCAAATTTTAACTTCTAGAACAATTTGAAGTATATATAAGCTTAAAATGTTTAATGAACCATAAAACAACAAATACTTACATTTTTTTTTTAGCTGGACATTGAAGAACCATTTGATCAAATAGAGGGAGAATGCGTAGAATTTGTGGCAGGTTATGTAGCTAATCGGTTCTCAAATAAATATCCAGATTTGATAGATTTAGTTGCAGGAGAAAAAAAGTGTTGGACTAATCATATATCAAGAGGCCAATTAAAAATTCCATCAGACAACCTTCTCAGGCAGTAAAACTATCTTTTCATATTTCTGCTGATTTTCACATATTATCAGACATCCCACAAGGATCACACTTAGGACCACTACCATTAATATGCATATTCGGCGATAAAAAAGGTATTCCAATATACGCAGCAAAACGTTTACAACGATGGGCATATGGTTTATCATCATTTAACTTTGATAATAAGTACATTAATTCGGACAAAAATTAAGCTGATTTTCATTCGACAATTAAAATCGATTATAATAATAGCAATCACGAGAACGATAACGATAATTAAAATTTTATTCATGAAAATTCATGAAAATGAAAATTTTATAAGGAAAGAGGTGTTACGTATCTATAAATATTAAATAAATTAGTAGTGGGAATTGTCCACTACTCGCGAGTGCGATTACCGGCACACACACCATTCACAATTATATTGTTTCTCAATAAAGACTTATTTTCTGTTTGACTATTCGATGTTGTCTTTCATACTAAAAACACAACATAATACATTTTATGTAGTAAATCGACAGTGATAAGTTCTTGATGATTGTTTACCAATTTGACTTTTGACCAAAATTAATCGTCCGGGTCCAGACCAATGTATACGGGAGATATTTATGAAATTCTATATATTGATGAATCGATCAAGTCGTTAATTTTATTAAGTTTACACCTTGGTGTAGCCATTTTGATTTAAGTCTGAAGATCCAATAGGGCTTATTGTCTTTGCGAATCGCATTCGCCGTCTTTTAAATTGTTTCGATTGAATCCAAAAACTCGTAATATATTTGTTTCACAACTGAGCAATCCGATTCCTTTCCCGTATCCGATAAATCACAACCTTTGTAATGTAAAAAGTCTCTACCGGTACCGTTGACTTTATCGCCTAGACGTTCCGCAAAATAATGCAAATATCGATAATTTTTCAATAATTTAATAACTAGTTTGAAAACTCTATCCTTTGGATCGATTTCAACGAGTAAATTCGATTTATCCAATATATCATTGAAATAATCCATCTTACGCGCACAATAGATTAATAAATACTGAGAACTAGTGATGGAAACGAGTAGGACCGATTACACTTGGTCGTTACACTATCGTTCCATCGGTACAAAATACAATTGATCGCCAAATAATTACAGTAGTGATCAAAAAGTACTTGAGTAGTTACTTGTTCGGGATTGTGTAACTACGACCTACAGTAACTGTCTATTTGGCCAACCGTTGACTAAGCTGCCCTCTTCTTACAGTAGTAGAAAACTAGTGCTATCTCTTGGTTTTTTAATTATCTTAAAAAAAAAAAAACCCAGCACAGGGGGGTCGCGGCACAGTTGTGACGTGGTATAGTTGGATCAAGTATAATGATATCTGACAGTGATTAAAATCACTATCAAAAATAAACGCTTCGATGCAAATCTTTAGATAGTGTTTAATTTACAAAAAATTGGTGTTTTATTTCAAAAGCTACTTGATCTGCTGGTTCCTTATTAATATCTCGATTAAGATAAAGTATGTCGAATGAAAAAGGGTTTATTAAAAAATATTATTTCTCATAAAAAAATTGTGTGGATCCATAAACTTTTCAATAAGTTATAGCATTATAAAGTTAAATATTATATAAATAATAAAATTGAGAATTTTCACACGAAAATAGCATTCGGTAGCCATTTTCGCCGTGAAGACAAGTCCAGAGGTAAATTTTTTTTTTCAAATTAAAGTATATTACATTAGCTTTAATTTAAGATATATATGAAAGTGTCAGACCTTCCGGAATATTTTCAAAAGTTATGTTGAAAAAGTAAATTTTTTGTGAAAAAGTTGTCATTTTAAATCCCTCCCTGTGGGCAGGTTAAGCGTCAGATTTACAAATATACCAAATGATAAGTAAAGACATCAAGTATATATATAAAAAAAATTTATATTGATATGTTCATTTTAGAAAAAGTTAGAGCATTATTAAGTTAAAAATATAAAAAAAAATTATTTTACAAAAATCGTAATTTTTTATTAACTTTGATGTCAACTTTCACCACGAAGACAAGTCCAGAGGTCAAATTTTTTTTTTTCAAATTAAAGGATATTACATAAGCTTCAATTTAAGATATATATAAAAGTGTCAGACCTTCCGGAACATTTTCAAAAGTTAAGTTGAAAAAGTTCTACTTTCTATATGCATTTTTTATATTTGAAGCCCCCCCATATATAGGGAAATAGTCTGATTTAAAAAAAAAGTATATCCAATGAAAGATGTATATAAATACTACTTCTCATGAAAAAATTGTATTGATCCATACATTTTTTAAAAAGTTATAGCACTTTAAAGTAAAAAATGTAAATTATAAAATCGAAAATTTTCACACAAAAATAGCATTCGGTAGCCGTTTTCACCATGAAGACAAGTCCAGAGGTCAAATTTTTTTTTTTCAAATTAAAGGATATTACATAAGCTTCAATTTAAAATATATATAAAAATGTCAGACCTTCTGGAACACTTTCAGAAGTTAAGTTGAAAAAGTTCTACTTTCTATATGCATTTTCATGTTTTGAATCCCCCTGTATTAAGGGAAATGATCCGATTTAAAAAAAAAGTATGCCGAATGAAAGATCTATATAAATACTACTTCTCATTAATAAATTGTAATGATCCATACATTTTTCAAAAAGTTATAGCATAATAAAGTTAAAAATGTAAAATACAAAATCGAAAATTTTCACACAAAAATAGCATTCGGTAGCCATTTTCACCATGAAGATAAAATAAAGTCCGAAATTTTTTTTTTTCACAATAAAGTATATTACATTAGCTTTAATTTAAGATATATATAAAAGTGTCAGACCTTTCGAAACACTTTCAAAAGTTAAGTTGAAAAAGTAAATTTGTTGTGAAAAAGTTGTCATTTTAAATCCCCCCCTGTGGGCAGGTTAAGGGTCAGATTTACAAATATACCAAATGATAGGTAATGACATCATGCATCTATAAAAAAAAGAATTATATTGATATGTTTATTTTTAAAAAAGTTACGGCAGTTTTTAGTAAAAAAAATTGAAAAAATTTCGAAAATTAGCGATTTTTAAATTTGTAATTTTTTTGGAGGTTTCCCCCATTTACGGGGAACGAGGGATTTTTTTTCAATTTTTGAGGGTAATGTCTTTGACTAGACACGATTTGTGTTCTTTTGGCGTATCATTGAAAGAAATCGGTTCGGTGAGAGCTGAGAAAAAGTGGTAACAGACACAAAAAACAAAATAAATAAATAAACACATTTTAGTAAAACCAATACCTTCTCAGCTTCGCATCGAAGCTAATAATGACATCTGTATTTAATAAAATGACAATAGAAATTTGGCATAAAATCACTTAACTTTAACAAGCTGTAACGAACAAAATTCTTTGTAATGTTTTTTTCTATCATATTATAAAGTTAAAAATAAGGGTTCCCATTTAAGAAAATTATAAATAAGGGTTTTTATCCTTGAAGG